AATTTCGTGCAATTAGATTTGCTTGATCTACATTTGTGTACCTGACAAAGTTTTTTTTCCATTTAATGAAACACGATTAGCTTTTAGCTAATTTTTCTTGAATAGTGATTTTAGAATCTTATGTAATAGCATGAGAACAATAGTGTTTTCTTTCTTTCCCTTTTTACATGGTAAATTGTGCCTTGAGGACTTTTAGTATTCAGCTACCATATTATATAAACTCACAGCTCCAGCTGCTTGGGCTCTATATTTAGTTCCCTTGTTAGTAAATGACTTCACTTTATTTGGGTCTTACTTTATTCTCTATATCAGGTTTAGCACGGTGTGATACCTAGCCTAGCCTCCTTTTATAATTTGAAATCTTTGGGCAAGAGTAAAATTTTTAAGAAGCTTTATTTTTTTATACTTGAGAATGTCACTTTATTAAATGTTTCATGATTGCAAAGAAAATCCTTAAAAAGAAATCTGAAATGCTGAATATTTTATAATAATGGTTTTTAGCATTAGGCTTTTACACAAATATTAGGTGTTGGAAATGAAAAATGTTATGACTAATCTCTACAATTATTAGTTTCTAATTTATGTTCATATATAAGTTTCAGGTAAATCATTTACCCTGTCTTTCAGAAGCTGGACAGTGGCAGTGCTATAGTATGGGCTCTGTGTTTAAAGTTAAAAAACAAAAAGGTTTATATCTGTAAACGGACATTTTGGTTGATGCTGACTGGAAATTGAAAATAGACTTTATGGAAATTAGTTCCAAGTGTTAGAATAGTTAATAAATACTAAGGTAGATGGGTGAAAGTGTAATGTAGACACTTAATTAGGCACTGTTTTGTGGTGTAATTTTGTATGAAAATGGCAAATAATTATTACTTTCAGTAATTGTTTGCACTTGATGTTTGGAACTCTGCATTTCTGTTTTCACTTTTAACTACATTATTTATAAATTTATTTGGATAATGAAGTGTTTCATACTTGGTTTTTCACTCTTTATTAAAAATATATTGTATTTTAAGTCAAAGCAAGAAGTGGAAACATACCAAATTAGGTATTTCAAGCTAAACACAGTAAGAACCCAATTTCCAAGGTAAATGATTTGTGTTTAAATACAGGTTCATGTGTTATTCTGTTTCTTTGAAATGTACAACACAAATGTAGTACAGATATCTTAAAATAGACAGAGGCCAGCGACAGTGGCCAGAAATTGTTGACTACTATAGATGGTGAGGCTGTCTAGCTCTTGCAGTGATAGAAGCCAGCAGTACACGGTAAGGGCGTTGATTTGCTCAAGGTCAGCATGTTCTAAATTCAGCAGCTTGAGTGTGGTTTCTGTCAAGAACACATAGAGCTCTTGAATTCATAAAAGGTTTTCGCAGCAGAAAATGCTGTATTTATGAGGTGTGGTAACAACATTCAGGTCATGAATTTCTCTTTTTAAATTTTTAAATATGGAAGTTTAGCCTGTGGTCCTGAGTCATTTCAGACTATACAGATAGAAAATGGGCTGTAAAATAATCTGTAAAGCAGTTTTTTTCCCCTACTTTTGAACTAATTAATATTGAACTACAACATACTTCATAGAGGTAAGAGTTTTGCTCTTTGAGACAGTGGTTGCCTAAATGCTTGAGGGCCTGGGTTTGATCCCAGCACTGCAAAAAGTTGGGGAGAAATATATGCAGTAGTTATAAAAACATAAGGAATGGTGAAATTTAGACTTACCAGTTCTTGTTTAGAGCATACTTATCTCTCATTCCTTCTTAGATCCTAAAGTATCAGAGTTCTTGTAACAAAATTAAGGTACATAGACTCAAAAAATAATACTTTAAGGCTGGGGATTTAGCTCAGTGGTTCCACTGCCTGCCTCACAAGCGCAAGGACCCAAGTTGATCCCCCATACCAAATAATAATAATAATAATAATAATGATAATAATACTTTATATAGGGTACTTTATAGTGGCACACTGTGTGTATTTTATCATTTTTTCAAAGTGCATTTACTGGGCCGGGGATTTAGCTCAGTGGTTCCGCCACCTGCTGTGCAAGCACAAGGACCCGAGTTTGATCCCCGGTACCAAAAAAAAAAAAAAAAAAAAAATTCAAAGTGCATTTACTTAAATTGCCTAGGTTTTTTATGTTTATGAGATAATTTTTTTTTAAACCATTTTATTGAGATAAAATTCACTTACTGTGAATTTTTTTTCATTCATGGTACAATCCAGTGGCTTTCAGTGTATTCACTCTACACAGTTGTGGATTGATGAATATAATCAATTTCAGAACATTTGTATTATCCCAAAAAAGAAACACCCCCATCTCCCTGGTCATTGTTCCACTGTCACCCAGTCTGCACAACCCTAGGGAACCACTTGTCTGTTCTTTGGGTATATTTGCCTCTCCAGATGAGATATAAAAATGTAGCCATCCAGTATGTGATCCTTTTCATTGGATTTTTTTTTCCTTTCACTTAGCACAGTGTTTTCAAGGGTCATGCATATAGTATCTAACAATATGCTCTGCTTTTGGCCAAGTTTTTTGTTATTTGGGTGCCATATTTTACGAATACATTCATCAATGATTGCAGATCTTGTAAAATTCTATCAATGAAAAGACAGGAATACAAATTGTAATATTGTCCACGATTAGATATTTCTTTCACAATATTTTGTGCCTCTAAAGTGTGAATTATTGTGGTGGGTACTGCTTTTATATCGTGGATAAAAAAATATAGTCCCTGACTTTATGGTACTTGTAATCTAATGGGCATATTGAATACAAAAAAAGATGAAGTACTCTAAATAGGGAGAGAGATTAACAAAAGGGAGTTAAACTTTTTCTTCTCTCTCTTTCTCTGCTTTTTATTCTTATTCCTTTGCTTAGGAGTGAATATTCACCTCTCTTCTTTCCTATGAAAATTATGCTCGTACTTCAAGGCTTAGCTAGGTATCAGCTCCTGGATTACTTTCAGTCTCCTGGATAAAGTCTTGTCTGGCCACCCTCTAGTCACTGTTCTGGGCTCCACCTAGCACAGCAGTGTATTTGCTTGTGGAATAGGTACTCACTAAGCCAAAATGAATGAGAACTTAATTTCCTTTGCAAATGACTAGAATGTAGACTCATGGAATTTCAGAACTCGAAAGGATTTGTAATGTTTTCTATTGTGACTCCACACATAAGCATGGATTACTTTTTATAGTATCCCAACTCCTTTTGTCCAACCTGACCTTTAAAAACTTTTTCATTAATCACAAGTGTCTTCTAAAACCAAGTCTTGCTTATATCCATGAGTATTTAAAGTATGTGAGATAAGTATGATAGATCTTTTTCATGTCAATTTTTATATGACCTCAAATTTGAAGAATAAACACTTTTTAATAGTTTTTATTTAAACACATTTATTATGGATCTTGAGACTTTTTTCTGGGTTTATAAGTTTAGTTGTTTCCATTTAGTCTTTAAGGCTATCAATATAGCCTGTTTATAAATATATAAAGGTTTGAGGATTATATAAAGTAACCCATGTTGTTTTCAGATCTTTTATTTTTTAAAAAAATTTTCTTTATAGCAACCGGATATCTAACATATCCCAACCTCATTCACATAAAAGAAGTGATTTTACTAACTATAAGAAGCTGGTTAACAGGTGGACCAGATGCATGATTTTATTTGAGCAACAGTAATGCATCTCCTTTAAAAATCTTGGAATGTGTGCTATTAGGTTATAAGATTAAGTATTGTACATGCTCAATAAGACTAATGAGCCGTAGGGCAAAACCATTTTGAAAAGCTTGGTCATTAAGTGAGCTTAATTCTGTATGTTGTAGCTATAAAATACATAATAAAAACAATGCCATGTAAATGAGGCTGATCTGTTATTTTGTATCAGATTTGAAAAACTATTATACAGTTGCTGTTAGTTACTCATAGGTTAAAAGAAGACTTTTATGATATTTTTGATTCCACTGAATAAAGCCTTGAATTTCAAAGGTTATCAGTATTTTCCTTGGATTAGCCTTGGGTACCCTTGTTTTGAAGATGTACACAGACTCAGAAATGTACTGTGACAATAGAATGAAATGATACCATGGATTAGATGACACTGTTGGCCTCACATTACTCCAAGTGTATGTGCCTCTTTGTTTCTGAGTGTTCATCCTCTTCTTGTGAATGGAACCCAGTACCCTGAATGTTACTAACAGTGGGTGTGCTACTACAGAAGAGTGCCAATTCAGTGGCCAGTGAATAATTCAGGTATCAACTGATGTGTTGAGATTGTATTACTTAGGAGAGAGAATCGAATATGTGCTAAACTTTGACATTAAAAAGAGCAAGTGTTTCTTTTGCAAGAAGACATGGAAGTACAAAAAGCTTTGTGTATAGTCACCTAAAAACCAGTATAGTAAATATGAAATTATTTAATATATTTTTAAATTATGAAAGTAATAGTGTCAGAAAGAATTTAATAATGCAAAAAGTTGTAAAATAGAATTGGAAGAGTTTTTCCCTTTAATTGTAGCTCCACTTTATAATTTCAGAAAATGTATTTTATACTTTAAAATACAGTGTTCTATGATGTACATTTAGTTTTCTGATAACGTGACAGAGAATATCCTTGTGTGGCCTTGAATACCACATGTGCACATTCCCATATTTCCGGAAGAATTATTAAGTCAAAGGCTATATCCCCTCTCCTCCTGTCCCCTCCCCTCCCTTTTCCTCCCCTCTCCTTTTTTTTCATTTAGAGGTAGGGTCTTGCTGATTTTAGGTTGCTCTGACAAACTTTCTTGTTCCTTTTCTCAACTCCTAAATGCATTCTCCAAAATTCAGTCCTAAGCCCTTTTTATTATTAAATAATACAGTTCTGTTTTGGAGATCTTACTCTCCATAACTTCAGTTTTTTAGTATGTATGGTAAATGTTGAAATATCTTCCTCTACTCATCTTTTTGAACCCTCAGTTTTTATTTATGCCCTCTTGGATAATATTTGGATGGCACTAACTCATTCAAAATCATCTCCATCACAAGGGGGGAAATCTACAGCAATCAAAGCAGTACAATACTAGCATAAAGACAGACATACAGCTGGGCGTGGTGGCACATGCCTGTAATCCCAGCTACATTCCTCAGTCCCTTTTTAAATTTTATTTTGAGGTAGGATCTTACTAAGTTGCCATCTGGCCTAAAACTTGTGATCCTTTGGAGTAGCTAGGATTACAGGAGTGCACCACTATGCCCAGCTCTGTATTAACCATTTTCAAGTGTGTAATTCAGTGGCATTAATTCACAAGATTGTGCAACTGTAATATATTTTCAAACAAAAAGTCTGTGAGTACATTAGGCAGTACTTCCTCACTCTACTCACCTCCCATCCCTCAGGCCCTGGTACCTTTTAATCTGTTTTCTATGTCTATGAATTTGCCTATTCCAGATACTTTATATAAAATGGATTCATAAAATATTTGAACTTTTTTCTGGGTTATTGCACTTAACATAATGTTCAAGGTACATTTGTGTTGTGGTATATAATCAGAACCTTATTCTGTTTGGTGGCTGAAAAATATATAAGATTCCATTGTTTAAACATGCGTGTTTTGTTTAGCTAATCAGTGATAGATGGATATTTGAGTTGTTTCCACTTTTTGGTTTTTGTGAATAATATTGGTTTGAGATTGTGGTGTGGTTTTTTTTTGTTGTATTATAGTGGGTTTTTTTCATGTTCTGGATATAAAACCTTCATTAGATATTCTCCAATTTTGGGGGTTTCTTTTTCACTCCTCTGTTGACATTGTCTTTTGATGCACAAAATTTTTAATCTTGCTGATGTCCAGTCTATCTACTTTTTCTTTTGTTGCCCATACTTGTGTTGTAAATTTAAGGAACCACTGTCACATTTGAGACTATGAAGACTTCTGTATTGTCTTCTAATAATTTATAGTCTTAGCTTAAAATTAAGTCTTTGGTTTATATTGAGTTATATTTTGGTGTGAGGTAGAAGTAGCGTGGTTATTTTATAAAGGTAAAAATCCAGTTTTTCTAGCTTTACTAATTAAAGCAACTGGCCTTTCTAGCTACATTGATGGACTTTGCACCTTTGTTGGAAATAAATTGACTGTAGACATTAGGATTTAATTTCTGGACTCTTAATTCTATTTTGTTGTTCTATATGTCTGTCTTTTTGTTTTTGTTTTTGGTTTTTTGAGTCAGGGTCTCACTGTCTAGTTCAGGCTGGCCTTAAACTTATAGGGATCCTCTTGCCTCAGCCTACGTATGGAGTGCTGAGATTACAGGCATGTGCCACCACGCCCAGCTATATGTGTCTTTATGCTAATATTGTACTGCTTTGATTGCTGTAGATTTCCCCCCTTGTGATGCTGAGGCTTGAATCTAGGATCTCATGGGTGTACTCTACCACTGAGTTACATTCTTAAGTTCTTGATTACTGTAGCTTTGCATTAAGTTTTGAAATTGGCAGTCATGAATCCTTCAGTCTTAATTTTCAAGATTGGCTTATTCTGGGTCTCTTTAAATCCTATATGAATTTTAGGCAAAATTTGTCCATTTCTTAAAAAAAAAAATCTCTTAGGATTTTGATGGGGAGTCACTGAAACTGTAATATTGCCAAGTTAACAATATTAATTCTTCACCATGAGCATGGAATGTCTGTTAGTTAGATCTCCATGAATTTCTTTTAGTAATGTTTTATAATTTTCAAGTCTTGTACTTCCTTGGCTAAATTTAGTCTCTAGATATTTTATTGTTTTTGATGCTATTATAAAAGAAATTGTTTTCTTGGTTTCCTTCTTGGGTCATTTATTACTAATATAGGAAAGTACAACTGACTTTTCTAAGTTGATTTTATATTCTGCAATTTTGCTAACAGTGTATTGATCTGTAAATGATTTCACATGTACACCTGAGAACTGTTACTTCCAGAACTTGGCTGCTTCTTCACCTTCAATTCCTAATATGAATGTGCTTTTCAGCACATGCTACAAACTAATATCTCTTGGAAACCTGATTGCCATCAAGATTATGACATACCATGGCCTTGAAATAAATCTACACAATTGGACAAAGGTTGCAGTTAATTTTTATTTATTTATTTTTTGGTACTGGGGATCGAACTCGGGTCCTTGCACACTTGCAAGGCAGGCGGCAGAACCACTGAGCTAAATCCCTGGCCTTGCAGTTAATTTTTAAAAAGATTTTAGCACTTTAAAAATTTGTCAGTAGCTGGGCATTGTGGCACACACCTGTAATCCCACCACTCAGGAGGCCGAGACAGGATAATTACTGCGAGTTCGAGGCCAGCCTGGGCTACACAGTAAGTTTAAGGCCAGACTGAATTACATAGCAAGACCCTGTCTCAAAAACAAAACAAATGTGTGAATAGTCTGTTTTTTGTTCAGGAAGCATTTGGTAACTTTCAGTAGGCATTACAGTGCTTCCTTAATAATGTGAGCCCCTTATCTCTGGTCCGAGGTCAAAAATGTCTGAATTGTCCATTCTGTGGTAGAAAGTGATTGCATTTGTAGCAGAATTGCTGTCTGGTATTGTGAATGTGCTTCCTCTACCTCTCACCCTGAAGGTTACATTAATTAACAGTCTCTAAAGATAAAACCTTAGTATCAAAGCTGTTGTGACATAGAATCAAATTAGAACTGTAAGATGTTTAGAGAGCATTTATATAGACATTTAGTCTAACTTACTTTATAGAAGAGGCAACTGAAATGCAGTACACTTAAATGAACATTGGCATAGCATCATTTATAAATAACCATTTAACTTTTTCTGTTTGTTTTTTTGAGAGAAGGTCTTGCTGTGTAGTTCCTGCTGGCCTTGAACTCACTATGTAGCCCATGCTGGGCCTGAACTCAGTGCAGTCCTCCTCCTGCCTCAGCCTCTGGAGTGCTAGAATTACAAGCCTGCACTGCCATGCATTTACTTAATTTATGTATGTATTTGCTTTTTTTTTTTTGCGTAATACCAAAGTGAAAATAATATTATCCTTTGAATCTAAGGATATAGTTTCTTTGTACATGGTAAAATTTATTTATAGAAATTGGCAATCCATGATTGTAACAGTCATTTGAAAACAGGATATCATCTTCAAACAAAATACTTGTAGAAGTATTTAGAGAAAATTTATGTTTGAGATCAGACAAGATTGGGTGCATTCAGGGTGGCATGGCTGTAGATGAGAGCATTTATGGTTGAATAATGAATAATGTGGTGAAGCTGCGTAACATGACAGAAGTGTGTGTTTAAAGTTATTACAGATTTTATTGGCTGCAAATTACTTCTCATTAGCATGGAACCCTTCAGAGAGAATGTCATTGAATTTGTACCAAGGTTAGTATTTTGGATGTGACAGTGTTCATTTTAAGGGTTTGTAAGAGAAATATATAATGATTCATGAGGTATTAAATATCCTGTTTTTAAAGAGATAGAGTTTAAGTTGTAAAATAAATGAAACAATATACTTACACATGGTACTAAATAATAACAACTAATTATGTTACCATCTTTATTCACATGTTCCTAACTCTGGTTCTGCCACTTTCTGTGTCATACCAAGTGAGCTGCCTAACCTTTCTGAACCTCAGTTTACTCTTCAGTAAAACGATGATAATAACTACCTCAGAGGTTGTCATAAAAGTTAAATCCATAATGCATATAAAGCACATAATACAATCTTGGGACATTTCATACATTTCGTAAGTAGGAGCTATAAAGAAGAGCAGCATGGTTTAAAAGAAAATTATACAGTGGTCATGTGATAGGGAATCTCCCATAGCTGTGCCCTGGTGGCCTACTCTTCCTATGCATGCTGCTATTCCACAGAGCATAAGTGTTGACAACTTACAAAATATAGTTAAAATTTTTTTGAGTAATGAGTAGTGCGTTCCTTTTTTTATAAACTGTTATTGGAGGCATTCCTTTTTTTGTGAACTATTTATTAGAGTACAAGATAGTTATGGTACCCAGATACTAAGTATACAGCTTGATAAATTCTTACTGTGTGAACATACCTTATAAGTACTATTCATCAAATTTGAGTATTTGTGTACTCTATTTTATGAAATGTCTTTTGTCCATTTTTCTAAGTACCCAAGTGCCTTTTTTTGAGACCTGGTCTTATTGTGTGGTCTAGGCTGACCGTGAACTCACTGTATAACCCTGGCTGGCTTGAACTTGTGATAATCCTCCCACCTCAGCCTCCTGAGTGCTGGGAATATAGATGTGCACCACCATGCCCAGCAGTTGCCTTATTCTTGCCGTGTGTGTGTGTGTGTGTGTGTGTGTGTGTGTGTATGTGTGTATGCATGCTTTTAAAACATATTTCTAATGTAGAAACCTTTGGGAAAATACCTTGTGTTCTGTGGCTTTGCTTTTTCATTCTCTTAAAGCTATCTTGAATGAATACACTATATGGTGTTAATTTTGATATATTTTAATGTGGTTTTATGCATTGTTTGTATGTATGTACGTGTTTGTATAGTATTAGGGGTCAATCCCAGGGCTTTCACATTAAGCTACATCTCCAGGCCTTTTAAATTTAAAAAAATTTTTTTTTTTTTTTTGAGACAGGGTCTCACTTTTGTAGTTCAGACTGGCTTGAACTCACTTTGTAGCCCAGGCTGGCCTCCAACTCATGGTGATCCTTCTGCCTCAGCCTCCCAAGTGCTGGGATTACAGGCATGTGCCACCACGCCCAGCTCTAGATTTTTAAAGTTTTGAGACAGGGTCTCGCTAAGTCACTAAGTTGACCAGGCTGGCCTCTAATTGTGATCCTCCTATCTCAGACTCTCATAGAGTGCTGGGATTACTGATGTGTACTACCTATCTCAAAATTTAAAAAAAAAAAATTGGTTGGGGTTTTGGTTCGTTTTGAGGGCCTTGGTTCAATTCCTAGTACTGGAAAAAAAAATTCTTTATGATTGTTGCCACTTGTGTACTATTCAAGCATTCTCTTTTAGATTTAAGAAATCTCAGATAACGAAGATGTTTTCCAGTATTTTCTTTGGGAAGCCTTATTATTTTACCTTTCAAACTGGGATTTGCCATCTATCTGGAATTGACTTTTATGGTATGAGGTAGTGATTAAGATACACCATTCCTATGTGGATTTCTCTCAGCTGAGCGTCATTTATTTTTCCTGTATATCAGGTGACATTATATATGTGGGTGTATTTTTGGACTCTATTCTATTCATCATTTGGTCCATTCTGCCAGTATCACAGTGACATTACTCATAATTGATAATGGAAATCTTCCTACTTGTTCTTCAAGGGGCTGTTTTGGTCTTTCATATTTCTAGATGAATTTTAGATTCTGTCAGTTTCTACAAAGGACACTTTTGTTTTCAAAGTGTTTTTTCCCCAAATTAGACTATGAAACCCCCTTGACTTTAATAATGGCATCTTATTCTGACTTGCATTATTTAGAAAACAGACTTCTTTTACTGATCACAATGTTTTGCCCCCTCCCCCATGTTTAAGCCTCTGCTTTGTCTTTTGTTTAAGCATTTGAAAAATAAAGTGGGACAGTGTAGAATCTTTAAGAGATAGTTAAGGCTCTATTTTATGAATGGATTAATCAGTCCATCTCATTATTGGATTAACAGGTTATCTTGAGACTGGGAGAGTGAATCTGCTGTAAAAGCCAATTTGGCTAGGTCTCTCACATTCCCCATCCATTGTCATGTGATACCACCTTGGGACTCTGCCATCACCAGGAGACCATTGCCAGATGTGATCCCTTTACCTTGGACCAGAACTGGGAGCCAAAATAAACCTCTTTTCTTTATAATTTATTTAGTCAGTAGTACTGTGTTAGTAGCAACAGAAATGGGCTATGACAGGTTTTTCTTAGAGGTACATTTTATATGCAGTAAAATGCACAAATAGCATTTTGAAGTCATAATGGGCAACTAGTTGTTGAAGTTTTTTTTAAAAACGTAGATCCTAGGGCTAGGGATTTAGTTCAGTGGTTCTGCCGCCTGCCTAGCAAGTGGAAGGTCCTGAGTTCAATCCCTGGTACCAAAAAAAACACACCCAAAAAACAGATTCCATTTTCTGGTGAAATTCTTTATCATTTCATCCATTTTTTGATCACTTTCATTATTTTAAAGTCCCCATCCCATTATTTCAGTCGCTGATTGACTGGGACTGCTGTTTATCTCTTTCTCCCCCTTTCAGTTTTCATTTGGTTTCGTTTCCTGTTAAGGTGTCAATTTTGTCCACTTTTTAGTACCGAACCCTGCGTATGAAATCTTGAGCTGTGTTGTTCAGTATGATACTCTCTAATCTCTTGTGGCTATTTAATGTAAACTTAACTAAGATTAGTAACATCTGAATGCTACTAGCCACATACATAGATACTACAGATAGAGAACATTTCCATCATTGCACAAAGCTCTGATGTATAGGGCTGTGCTGGCAACCATGGCTAGTACCTTCCTTAAAAAAAAACTCAGTTTTATTATGGAAAGTGGTGAGTAGATCTTATTCTTTTAAGGGAGGCTGGTCTGTTTCATTTTGCCCTTGTTCCTAGGGTGTAGTGCTTTGTGATTTCAGTTGAAAAGCTTGGAGTATCTGCCAAGGGCCCTCTTCCCAGGCAAGTTCTAAACGGTAGTTTTTGTTTTCCCAGACCAATGGGCCAGCTGCACGCTCTAGGGTACTACACCTTTCTGTTCAACCTCTGCCTCACCCTGAATTGCCACCTATTGCAAGGAAATGGAAGGCTGGCTTTATTTATTTATTTAAATGATACGATCAATAACTCCTTTTTTCCATTACCCCATTTCCCTTAAGCCTCTCTCCCCTCTTATTTCCTTCATCTTGTCTAAGTAGAATCTCTTTTCTTACCTTCATGTCATCTTTTTTTGGAGTCCACATATTACGGAAACATACGATACTTGCGTGGCTTATTTTGCTTAATATGATAATCTCCAGATTCATTTTCCTACAAATGGCAGAATTTTATTTTTTATAATGGTCCAGTTTTCTTCCCCATTCATCTGTTGCTGGTCACCTAGGCTGGTTCCACATCGTGGTTATCGTCAGTTGTTCCAAAATAAATATGGCTATGCAGGTGTTCCCTATACTGCCGTGAGCTTATTTAATTCCTTTGTTCAAAGGAATGGTTGGTATAAACTGGGTCATGTGGTAGTTCTATTTTTAGTTTTTTGAATAATCTTCACACTGATTTTCATAGTGGCTGCACTAATTTACATTCCCACCAGCAGTGTAGAAGCCCCTTCTCCCTATCCTCACCAGCATTTTACTACTCTTTGTATTCTTGGTAATAGTCATTCTGACTAGAGTGAGATGTAATCTCAAAGTTTTGATTTGTATTTCTGTAATAGCTAGTGATAGTGAATGTTTTTCATATACTTATTAGCCACTTGAACTTCTTTTGAGAAGTGTCTGTTCAGTTCATTTGCCCATTTATTTTTTTCCCTTGAGTTCTTTAGTCTAAATATTACATTATATAATCCTCTGTTTGAGGATTTGCTTCCATTCTGTAGGTTGCCTCCCTTGCTGTGCAGAAACTTTTTAATTGGATGCAGTTCCGTTTGTTGATTCTTGATGTTGTTTCCTGTGTTATCAAAATCCTATTCAGGAAGTCTTTGCCTGTGCCTCTGGCTTCATGTGTTTTCTTGAAGCAGTTTCAAAGTTCCAAGTCTTCTGCCTAGGTGTTTGATCTGTTTGAAATTGATTTTTGCTCAGGGTATGGGCTGGGGATCTAGTTTCACACTAATTTTTTTTTTTTTTTGCTGCAAAAGGCTTTATTTTCTTTTGGTCCAAGACTTGGGAGGGG